CTAGTCTACCCTTGACTGGCTTAGAGTGGACTTGGTAGTGTAGGTTAATGGTTGGACTGGATGGTCTTAAAGGTCTTTTCCAACCTAAACGATTCTATGATTCTATGATTCTATCTCACCTGAAGTCACCGAATGGCCTCCCCTCTGCTCAGCAGACACTCAGAGGAGCTTGTCTGGACCTTCAGCAGTTCCTAGGACCAAAGGCTTATTTTTCATGGCCTTTAACACCACAAAGAACCACTGTTGTCACCCAGCTTCGCCCTCTTATTAACACCATAAAGCATCTGTAAGACGCTTTGCTTTCGTTTTCATTGAAAGGGGGCTGTGAACCAACGCTCAGCCGTTATTGCGGCTGAGCAAAGTTGGATCAAAGTGCTGGTTTCTCCTGATTTTCCCCTCCTCATCTTATCCCTGTCATTATTGCAGCGGTGGGGGAGGTGTTTCACGGGGACTGGGCAGCGCTGGCGTGCGCTGGGGGAAGGAGTCAACTTCTCCTGGAAGCCAGCACGTCTCCAGCCTCCCTTGGTCCCTCCTCATCCCGCCGGGAGCAGTGCAGCATGCACCGAGGGACCCTCCCAGCTCACCCTACATTTCCAAAACTGTGGACCTGGGTGAAGACTTTGAGAGCAAGCCGAGGGAATCATGGACCCGCATGACCCAGCATCGCCCCTGCACAGCTACGGGAATGCAGCGGGACCCTCACATTGGCCCGCTGGCCAAGCAACACCCAAAGTGCCCCCACCAAAGCGCTCCTTCCCTTGGATGCATGAGCTGCTTTGGAGCCACCTCCGCTGGGACTGTAGCCCCCTTCTCAGGTACAGCCTGCACCCCTCGTCCTTAGGAGTATGACTTTGCATTCACCTCTATTAAATTAGCTGTCTTTGCATCATCGAAAAACCTTATTAGCAATGATTTTATACTTGCTTCTACATGACTGATAACAATCATATATAGCATCAGACCCAGCATCCAATCAATCCCTGCTGAATGTCCCCTGAAATATACGGAAAACTAGCTCTCAGTGGGGAGCTATCATTGAAGTAAGACTTTGCAGTTAGCCAAACTCCATTAATACCTGCTTTACTCAATATTTATTTATTTGTTTGTTATAACGAGGTATATATCACAATGTCGTGAAAATAAAGAAAATATTCACGGTTGTATTCAGCCTTCAGGTAACTTTATCACCAAATGTGGAAGTAATCAGAAAATGAAATGACATGATTCTACGGAAGCTAAACACCAAAAATAAGTACTGATTACCATTAATTACATTCTTGCCCTTTTTACACTTTATTGATCAAGTCTCATATTCACTTTTCCATTATTTTATTTGGAGCTAATGTCAAACTAAGCAGTTTCAAATTTCTCCAATAATCCCATTTCTCCTTTTTAATATTAGCACATGTCAGAAAAGGTTTGGTTTTTTCTTTTTTCTTTTTTTTTTTTTTCCCCACTAGTTTTGCTAAGCCTGGGGATACTTGAGGAGGACTTGCAGGCCTGGTGGCTCCTCCACCAGCTCTTCTGGACCCCTCAGGCATGTGTTATCCAGACCTGTTGACTTCCACTTGCCTGAGTCCAGTTCCCAAAGGCTATGGATGGGATGACTCTGCAGTTAGAAATGTGAATGGAAATATTCACAGGCAAAATCTGAATGTAAATGTGCACCACAATATAAAGAAGGTTGAGGTGCACTGGAGACTTTGGGGTTGCTGGACATGTCTGTGAAATTCAGCATAATTTAGTCAGCAGGGATGCACCAGAAATACTGCCTCAGGTGACTGTCGAGGCAGAAGGGAAGTCCCGAGGACAGGGATGCTCTCCATCCCCACCCTGCAGGCACAGTCAGGCTCTGGGAGGACACCTCTGCCTTCCCCCACGTTCACAGACCTAAACCAGGTGCCTTTTCCTTGAAAACAGGGTGGAGGAGGCACCCCCTAGTAAAACTGCCCCTTCATTGGGGTGCGACATTAGGAATGGGGGGACACAGACCCGTGGTCCATCGGTGTGGGCCAGCACCTTAGTCCCAACGCCTTCAAGACCAGCCCCCGCAATGGATCACCCCGGCATTATACCCCCCCAGGTACCACCAGGCTGGCTGGTTGCTTTGTCTACACCCAAATCCAGCGGGCCAGCAGCAGACACGTCCAGGTGGACATACCTCCTAGCTGCCAGAGGGCATGTTAGGAACTTCTCTGAGCTGGAGCTCACACCCAGCTCTAGAGCTAGCCCATTCTGGGTGCAGAAAGGGATGGAGAAGGGGCCTAGAAATTCAAACCAAGAGGCAGAGAGAAGAAAAGGATGGTTCTTGTATTTGCTAGCACCACTACACAGGCTTCAAAACCGTTATCTCAGCTTTCACCAACATAAATGTTATGTCACTGCCCATGCCTGTATTGCTCTAGTAACCCATGCCATCCTCCTCATCCTTAGGCAATGAGCTGGTCACACCTGCCTTTTAGAGTAGATGTGGTCCTACTACAGAAAATATACTAATAACTGGCTGACAGGTGTTACTAGTGAGGGTATGAGTACTTGCAAAACACTTTGAGATACTTGACAGAGGATTACTGATGACAGGTAAAGGCACATTTTTATTGCCACAGCTGATGTTATACCAAGATCTGCTCCCAGTTTTGCTCCCAGTTTCGCTCCCAGTTTCCTTCCTAGTTGGCTGCCCCAAGACAGCCTGGGGTGTTTATACTGCACCCAGAGAATGCCCTGGGGCACCACAGGGCACGGGTGGTGGTGCTGATACAGAGGTGGCAAAGGGCATCAGGAACACCACCAGTTCATTTTCCCTGGGTATTTCCTATGACTGTGCTAATCGGGGTGGGGATTGTACAAGCCCTGCAGACCTTCATGTTGTCCCCAAAGCAACCGCGGTGAATCCTCACCACCCCATCACTCATCACCACCCTGACCATAGCTTCTGCAAACTTCATTGCCTGGTCCTGGATCCCGAAGGGGTTCCCAGGGCTATGCATGATCCAGCCTGGGCCAAGCAAGGACCTGTCAATCAGGTGTGAGTTTTGCCCTCATCCTTGCCCTAGACCGAAAGTGCTTTGGGACCAGGACCTATTTTAGCTTTTTGTGAACCACGATGGAGAGGAATTTGGGAGTTCTGAGAAAGACATCAGCAGATATTCCTGCTATAAACCTTTTAGCTGATTTTGTCCTCATTTCTGATTTTAGAAGAGAGCAATGGATTTATTGGACTACTGTTCCTCCTCTAGAAACCTGCAGAGACCCTGAGCAGACTGTGTAGCGGGGTCAGGGGAACTGCAGTCAGCAGCTTCCCGACTGCCACGACCCTTTGGAGGAGCTGTCAGGGACCTTTGGGGACCAGCAGGGACCTCTAATGCACGAGAGCAAACCAGTCAACCAATAACTCTGTCCTGGCTGCTGAGTTACCATCTCATTTTAGGCAGGGCAGCCTACAAGGATGTGCTATTTATTATCTGCCTGTCTCCGTAGTGGGGAATTTTATTAATTAACTAACATTTGCTAAGACATTATGATGACGGAGGTGAGACGAAGTAAAATCATTAAGCTTTGTTACTCTATTACTCACAGAGCTCTGCAGATGAAGAACAATTAATAAAGCACCATTGTTCGTAAAGAGCAATAAAAATGAATGGAAATGTGGTACTTTAACTCAGAACACTCAAGGCCTTGTTCATGATGAAAGCCCTGCTTGTCTCTGTCTATTCAGCAAAGCATTCAAATACAGCTGAAGAGCATTTTCCTTTAAAGCATACGCTTAGAGCTTGACTAAACACAAACCTGAAGCACGATCTCCACTTCAGGCGCAGGCTTGACTCCTTCTCGGTGCACATAAGCATGAAAAGCTTGCCCCCACATTCACTGAGGACAGAGGAGTGTTTCTTACAGTGACTCCATTGACTTCCACTTATCTCCCAAAGTTTTTGAGATTTCATTTATTTTTGCATGTGCTACGTGGATGCCATGAAAAAACTTCAGTCAAAATCCCTTCCTCCTCCCCAGGAAAGGGTCCTTGCCATCCAAACATGCTTACAAATAGCCTACCACATCAATTGAGCTAAAAAAAAAAAAAAAATAGATCTTTCTAGAGTGGGAAATTAAATGCAAAGTGCAGAAGTTCTGGTTTCGCATCTCATGTGAGTTATTAAGCTAACATTTTAACCACGTTAGAAATATAAATCTTCCTGATCAGCTGGCTAATATCCCATTATGCATGCCCCTTCGGACATTAATTGCTAAGCTAGTGATTCATTGACTCCGGGACATTTGCCCGTGCAGTTTGCTCCCTGACCCGGCTGCCACATCCATCCAAGGAGCAGAGCAGCGCAAGGGCTGTGGGTTTAAAATTGCCTCCTCAGTTGTGTAAAACTGCTCTTGGAAACCCAGAGAAGCAGAAGGATCCGTGCAATGCACTCACCTGGCACAATGACACACAGCCCGTCCCAGCCAAGCTGGCTGCTAAAACGCAGGCGAAAACGTGGGTTCCTGCAGGAATGTGTCGCCCCTGAGAGAGGACGCCCTGAGTGCTGAGGATCGCTCACTGGTTAACACCAGCCCAAGCAAAGTGCCAGCACTGGCCTGTTACTGCCATTCCCTACCCATTTTCCAGTATTTATACCTGGTTTGGAAGCAGTTTGGAGGCAGGTCTTTTGTTTTTCATTTGTGCAGCACCTTCCCAGGGACATCCTACCTCCTACTAGCTCCACAATGAAGATGATGATGGCACTACACTCCTGGGCACTTATAAAAGGGTCCCCGCTCAGGACCATGCTCAGGCTCATGCCACCTCTGAGCACGCACGCTCATTTTAGCTGCACTGCTCTTGTGCTCAGAGTTAAGCACGTGCCTAAGTTCATCGCTGAGGAGAGGTGTCGTGGTTTAGCCCCAGCCAGCAGCTCAGCACCACGCAGCCGCTCGCTCACTCCCCCTGCCCCGATGGGATGGGGAGAGAATTGGAGGAGTAAGAGTGAGAAACACTCCTGGGGTGAGATAAGAACAGTTTAATAATTGAAATAAAGTAAAAGAGTAATGCTAATAGTAACAGTATAATAATGATAATAATAATAATGATACACGAAGCAAGTGATGCACAATGCAATTGCTCACCACCCGCTGACCGATACCCAGCCAGTTCCCGAGCAGCGATCGCTGCTCCCTGGCCACCCCCCCCCCCAGTTTCTATACTGAGCATGATGTCATATGGTATGGAATGGCCCTTGGGGCAGTTTGGATCAACTGTTCTTGCTGTGCCCCCTCCCAGCTTCTTGTGCCCCTGGCAGAGCATGGGAAGCTGAAAAGTCCTTGACTGGCACAAGCAGCACTGAGCAACAACTAAACCATCAGTGTGTTATCAACATTCTTCTCATCCTAAATCCAAAGAGGGGAAGCGATGAAGAAGGTGGCAGAAATAACCGTGTGAGTTAAAGCATGTAACCGAGACACCAGTAAGCAATATCGTTCTTTAATATCGGCAAATTTAGATGGCAGCTCAACTGTTATTAGAGCTGGCCAAAAGGCTTTCAGAAGAAAACTCTTCACAGAGGGTTGCTTTGGCAACAAGTTCTTGTTTTCAGGTAGGAAGGCAAGGCTGGAGGAGACCTTCTGAACTGGCAAACCAGTCTCTTGCAGTCACGAGCTGTCACACGTCTCACCCTTACCTCCCAATCTGCCGTAACCCCTGTGACAGCTGCTGCACAGCCACTCCAGGTCCTCAATGCCCTAAAGACCTTACAGCATCTATTTCAGTCTAAATGTGTTCATGTGCTGCCTATAACGACTTGCTCTCCTGACACATTTTCTTTCTCACAGCTCCGTCTCCTATCAGAAATCACGTGGACTGCTCTGTGTAAATACTCTTTCTTTTGCTAAGAAAGCCAACACAAACACAAATGTTTTCAGGACATTAAAAACATCCAACGATATGAGCAGCTTTTGTAACCAGCTCTGTTATCTTCACTGTTAAGCAAACAGCTTTTAATGAACAGGCTTTCATTTCCCCTGTGCCTGTCACAGGGTTCGCACCTTTGATGAAATCAGAAAAAAAAAAAAAAAAAAGAAAAAAAGAAATGTGTTGAAAGAGTTAAGAACTTTTGGGGGTTTTTTGATCTGAAATCATGAATCTTGTTCTTTCCCTGTTCTTTTGAAGCTGTAGCAGCGTTACTGGGATGACTGGAGCAGAGCAGGGGTTTGGTTGCTGTATCGGTGTCATCTCCTGCGTCATGCAGCTGTGAACAAGCCAGGTCCCAGAGAGCTCTCGTTGCTTCTGCTCTCCATCAGGGACTTTGGGCTTGATCAGCCCCAAGCAGAGCCCTCAGCAAACTGCTGGCTCCCAGCCCTGATGCAGGGCACGACATTTCGTGGAGCCCGGAGCTAGGGAGAGCCGTTCCCCGGCATCTCCAGCGTCTCCAGCCCCTCCAAAGGAGGCACCTCTGAGGTCCAGGCATGCGGCAGCAGCTGCCTTCGAGGCAGCTTCCTCACCATGGGCAGGTCTGAAACAGCTTTGCAGCACAGCCAGGCTGTGGGCTTAGCAAGTGCCCTCCGCCCTCTTGGTCAGGGGAAAAAGGATGTTCAGCAGAAACGGCTGGGTGATCTGCTCCATCTTGTGACTATCGACATGAACACACCAGACCTTTTGTCAGGTCTCACAGCCGACAGAGGGTCAGAGCACTGACATTGCTGTGAGAGCTGGACTGCAGAGCATGAGCCTGCAGAAAGAGTTCCCTAATTGCTGCAATCAAGACTCTGGTTGCTGCCTGGATGAGGAAGAGTTATACTGGCCAGACCCAAGGAAAACCCTGAGCTCAGGAGGAGACCAAAAAGTGCTCAGACTCGAAGTGATGTGAAAGAGAGGAGTGCAGCCGACAGCAGGTATAATGCAGAGAGGAGAAGCAAGCATTTGTCTCAACATCCCACCTAGTAGAACATGAAGGAAAGCATGAAGGAAAGGTGTCTGGGCTCTGGTGCATTCCCTCCTCTTCCTCATCCCAGAGTTCCTTCCCGCAGTGGAAAGGAAACTGCTGCCGCAGCTTTGAAGGATACTGGTGGTTTAGTGCTTAACAACCCCTGGGAGTCACCAGAGCCAGAGGAGCTCGCAGCGGGGCAGCAGTGGAGCTGCTCTTCATCCCTGCATGTCGGCCGAGCCGAGGCTGTGCAGGGAGCAGGCTCAGCTGCTCCTGCGACCGCGCGGCCCAGCCTCCCAGGAGGATGTGCTGAGACCTGCTGCAGCCATCTCTGCTCTCCAGGGCCCCGAGCAAGCACCAAGAGCATCGCCTACTCAGAGTCAACAGCAACTCAAACTGCAATTTTTGCAATGGGCTACAGAAGCTTTGGCATTTAACAGCTGAGCCAGAATGGCCACCAGGACTCTGCTGTCAGGATGAGAAGACAGACCGGTCCCATCTGAGCGTGCGCTGCCCACCGAGTCAATGCTATGCAAAAAAGGACCTTTGTGCTTTGGTGATGAGAGCTAGGCAGATGGGAGTATTGCTGCAACTGTTCCATGGGACCGAG